TTAATAGTTGAAGATATTAAAAGGGGGTAAGATCACCAGAGGATATATAGCATTATAAGATTAATAAAAAGGCTCTTTGTACCAGCATGCATGTTTTAAAAGATCCAGAAATACTATCAGGGCTAGATTTATAGGGCCCATAAAGGAAAACACAAAAGCTTAGTGTGTGCATTCAGAAAGTTAAGATAGGCCTCATACAAACTTCACTGGAGATGGTGGGATTTTAATGGGATTTGTACAAAGCCAAAAGTGGCATCCTGTTATGTACTGCATATACTTAAGGATATTTAATAATCCCATATGGGATCAACTGTTATGAAGACAAACTGCCTCTGAGGGCCTATTAACAAGAACCAGCACATTTAACAAACACAAGGTATTGTGGACAATAGGGGTTGTGGGTGGAGGAGGGAGGAGGGGGAAGCAGAAGCAGAAAGCCTCCATGGATTTCAAGCAATCTGTAGAGTTAGGACATTTTATGTGGGATAAACCCTATTCTTCTCACTTATGGAGTTCCCCTTATGCCATTTTATGTTGTGAACTCAGGTTTCCTGTCCCCTGCACATGTTTACCTGCCTAAAAGATTATGTGGAGTCTGGTTAAAATTGTATGTCTAAAAAGCAAATGCATAGTTATGTCTTCCAAATGACAGTCCAGATTAGGTACATGATAGTTCACTTTGGACCTACTTCTAATTCTGTGCAAGGATGCATATTTAATCTGTAGATGTATATTTACTCTGTCAAACAGGGGTTACCAAACTGCTCTGTCTAGGCAGCAAGGAAGCAGAACATAGTAAGAGGACAGAGTGTTTTCTCTTAAAATAAGAAGCTTCATTTTTTCCTCTAATATTTTCAGTGCATTTTTCTACAATTAGTTTGGCAATCCAAGAATTCCATTGGCTTTACTTATCAAAACCAACCTTTCTATTTGAATTGCTGGCACAAGTACTAGAGGGAATAAGCAGAGAACTCAGGCATCATTCTTTTCAAGGTCCGCCCTTTACTGGAACAGAGAAGAAACAATAAATGGCAAGATTATAAAAAGGGAACCTACCATATTTTTGAGCAAGAGCTACTGTATATTACTGAGTGAGAAATAACCCTCTAAAGGTGTGGAGCTGCAAAAGGAAAGTTGAAATAAAACCCCTTAAAATCTATTTCCTTTGAATTTGAGGTGCACATCCTTTGGCTTGAATAGTCAAGCATTTGCTTCTTGTATGTTATTTTCTTTTGAGATATGATGCTTCAGCAGATAATGCTATGTGCATACTCAAATTATGTTGGACAAAAACAGAATGGTCAGCTATTATTACATTTCCAGATTCATTATTTTCTTTTAAAAAAGTAATGCCTAGGAACATCACAAATAACATTGTACTATCTCTAATAAACCAGCAAAGGCATGCACTCATGGAATGAACAATATAATCTTGGGCCAAGAGGCACATGTCCACACCATATTTCTTCCCAAAATGTGTTTCTTCCTGTTAGTTCTTCATGAGAAAATGATAATGCATCATTATGGAGGTGTAATGGTGACAAAAGAATGCTTAGCTTTTAGTATGATGAAAGGAGAAGTTAATTCGACGTATGGAGAGCCCTTCCCTCTAAACCATTTCATTTACACTCCCTCCCATTTTATAAAATTTCCTATGCACTTTGAGCTAAGTCAACACAAGAGTATAATTAAGAGCTGCAAGGAATTATGCCACAGTAGTCTCACACCATAGTAGTCAATTACTATTGAAAAAACTAGAGGTACGAATACTATTTTGTTGTGGTTTCAACATAGGTGAACACATTACTAGCATCCACTTTCTTTTTTGTTTGCGTTTAGGCCAGAATCTGCTCCCAGCTACTCAACCTTGTGTCTCGGACCTGCAATGTGACAAAGAAAGGGTTTGTCATTCGCTGTCAGCTTGATATGCAAGACTGCAATGATCCAGGGCAAAGAAACTGTACTTGTTCTACATTGTCTGAGTACTCCAGGCAATGTGCCATGTCTCACCAGGTGGTGTCCAATTGGAGGAGTGAAGACTTCTGCTGTGAGTTATAATATTTTATACTACAAACTGATGTAGAAAGAGAATGAATTACCTAATGGAATTTTAAAAATCTGTTAACTCTCCACTCTTAAATTCTCCACTCTTAAAAATGATTTTCTTTTTCATTGTCACAGCAATGGTGTTTGGGCAAATGGCTATCTGTAGGAGCTATGCTTTGATGCATCTCAGGGACAAACAAATACAAATTAAAAGTTTATAAATCCAATTGGGAGCTTTAGTCAAGTGTAGAACACCCATAGCTGTTGCATAATTCTAATAGTATAAAAGCCAATGTTTGTCCGTCTGTCTGTCCATAACACTTTATTCATGCTCTGATTGGCTGCCGAAAAGCTGATCAGAGTGTGAACAAGCGTTCAAACAGGAGCCGGTGGTGGTGGAGCACTGCCATGATGGTGGGAACACATAGGAGGCAGGGGCAACAGAGCGGAGGGAACAGGGGGGCAAGGCCAGCAGCGCTGGCCTCAGCCCCCTGCCCTGCTCCCTGCAGGTAGCAACGATGGCCTGACTAACCTGGTCTCTTTCTATGACCAGGTAACAAAAAGCTTAGATGTGAAGGAGGAAGTCGATGTTATCTTCTTGGACTTCCAGAAGGCCTTCGACACAGTGTCCCATACAATTCTGGTGGGCAAGCTGAGGG